TGGATATTTAAATGAGGTCTTTTCTGCTCGTGTTGCTTAATTCTAGCATGTGTTTTGGGGAGGTTTTTTTTTTTTTTTTTTTTTTTTTTTTTCCGACGTAGTGCTAAAAATGAAGAACTCGGAATTTCAGTTTCATCACATTATGATCCTTTATTTAAAAAACGGGGGAAAAGGCGTACTAGTCAGAGACCCCTTGCAAAAGTTTTGCTACATAGTGATAAAGTTTTGTTTCTGATGACACAGTTTGAAATCTGTTTGAGAAGCTTAGGGGTATGAATTTCAGGTTGATAATAATATCCGTTCTGAATGGCCATACAGTGTACTAAATAAGGACATATTGAAAGAAGTTATCGTGGAAAATTCTCGTTATTCAGGAACTATTAGACAGTCTAAATATTCCAAAAATCCCTAAATGGTCACTTCAAGATGATCGGGTGTGTAAGATCGCTTACAATGTATGATTACCCCACACTTAGCAGAGCAGAATATGTTTGTTCGAGTTTTGACATGTAATTCTTCGTTGAAAAAAAAACAAAGAAGGCCCTTTTCTCAAATAGATGGGAAGTGAATAATATACAAAAATATTACAAGAAAATTATTATTATTGTTATTATTATTATAGAATACAAGGGAAAGATCGTATAGCAATAATGATACAAAAAATATTATTAACCTCCTTTAGTACCACTGAGAATGGGTTGCATCCCAAAACATTTAGGGTTTGTTTTTGATGGAATGTTAAAGGAACTTCAAATTAATCAAATTTAGGTCATTTCATCCAACATAACAATGTTCGACTCCACATTTCGATGAATGTCAGATAAAAATTACTCAATATAGTTGAGATATAGTGTGTCAGTTCCCATATTCACTAGACCTTACCCTGTTGGATTTTCATTTCTTCAGGTCACTTCGGAATTCTCTGAACGATCTGGAGTTCATTTTTTTGAAGAATGTCAAACAACACCTGCATAAAGTGTTTACAAATAAAAACTTAATAACCTTTTTTAAAAAAGGAATTTTTCAGCTAGCTCAGAGATGACAAAAAATCAGAAACAACAAAAAAAAAAAGATATATGTGCTTCAATGAAATTTACTTATATTTTTTGTGCTACATCATTTATATTTATCATAAATAACTGCAAAACTTTCAGAATGACCCAATAATTATATTCCCACATTTACAAACGATGCAACTTCCTTTTCTGCATACTTATACAGAGGAGAATAAAATCATTTTTTTTACACAAAGCTGTCATAGCAGAAAAACAGAAGAATTCGTTCATAAATTTATTTAGTTGAGATATGGTTTTTCAGAAGGAATTCTTAAAATTGTTTTTCGCAGTAAGTTAGCATGAAGTTAGAAAAATGTTTTTTAATGCTTGTAAGAAATTCTTAAATTTTTGCTATCGAATTTGAGATGAATCTGCATAAAATGTTGTGCTACTTAATCAATTATGACAAAGACTTCGCTTGCTGTTTGCTAGTAAGGAGGAATGTATTCGTAGGGTACTTTATAAAAGATTATATTTAAGTTACACTCGTAGAAAAAATCGAAAGTGTCACTAATGGTTACTTTTCCGTCAGAAATTTAGCTTGGGTTCTACCTAATGATGTTCACTTGCTTTAAAATCTATGCCACTGGTGAGGCTTGAGTAATAGCAATAGTTCTTTTGTTTTGTTTTTACGAGATTACGAAAGAACTGTGTTAAATTTATCTTGTTTAAGAGTGATGCAGATTAGCCTGAAAGAATTTTAATATCCCTAATGAGAAATGAAACGATTTCTACGCTCAAAACTGGCGCCAATAGTCAAAATGACTATTGGCGCCAGTTATTTCAATAATATATACAAAATTTCAGCTGCTCGACCTTTTTTTGTTTCACTTCAAGGCCATTTCCTCTCCGAACCTCGAACGCTACGGAGAAAAAAATGGAATCCTCTAATTTGCTAAAAACTTTTGATTCCTTCTGTGCAGTGATGAGGACACGTTAGTATCAGAAATGAAGAAAAAGTCGCTATCACTTTGCCGTGACTGTTTTAAAGTAACAAACTATAATACAGATTAGATACGTAATCTCAATGCAATCTCAATGTATAATAAAATATACTTACGTATATACCTACGTATACTCTTTTTTTAAACGAAAAACATAACACTGATATGTGCAGTTATCAATAGATTACGTATGATTTTTATGTTATTCAATTTTGTATTTTATTGATTAGTCAAGAAGCTAAATAAAAATTGAACTTCTTGTTAAATATGAAAGACACTGGCTTGCTTGTGTGTTTAATTAAATACTGCAAATCACACGAGATGTATCTGTCTAAAAGCAGAAATGGCTTCATGCGGGACTTTCTAACAGAACAGAAGCTTAGGACTAAAAGAGCAGAAGTGCAATTATTATAAATGGGAAAACATGGAAAGTATGGAAACTCGAAGTATTGCATGTGAAGTGCTTGAACTTTTGACTTAAAACTGATTTCTTGTACGAAGTTATTTTTTCTAGTTAATATTTGATTCATATTTAAACGCAAAAATGCAGCGAGTCATAATAAGATTTGCTGCATTACTAGATGATATAAATCTGTTACAATTTGCTATTATAGTGCCAATAACAGTTCAATATCTTACATTTCTTATTATTAAGTGCAATTTATTAAAGAACGGCTGATTTTCCTTAATTTTGCTGCTGTTTGAAAATCACAAGTCTCTAATAAATTACTGCACTGTCTTGTCCTGTAAATGGGTAGCACATCCAGCTAGCAATTGAAAGATATATGGTTCGAATCCTGGCAAGGGCATAATTGACTTTTCCTATTTTCTTCATCAGAAGATGCTAATAGTTCCTACAAGTGACTGACCAACGATAATTTGCCAATATTAGTTTAGATATACTTTTTATTTATATCATTTGATAATTTGTTGATAGCCTGAATCAGACTTTAAATTAAAAGCTTTAGTTATACATGCTTATGCACAGTGAAATGTAATCACTGAACTTATGATGGTATAACTATAAATTAAACTCCGTTTGCTCCTCTAAAGCAAAATACCCTGGAAACGTTTTTCTATTTAACTTTTGTCATTGAACTGAAATTAAGTGATTGCTGTCGGACAAGAGAATAAAATATATTATTATATAAATATTATAAAATTGTATACTACTATCGTATAGGTTTTTAATTAATGTTTATAAAAAGGTATCCATCGCTACTTGCGACAGCCAATGTCAAATTAAAAAAAAACTAAGACATTTCCGCACGAAGCAATTGAGGACAGTCAAAAAGCTGTAATAATGAATTAATAAAATTTTATTGCTAAATTCTATTTTCTACTAAGCACCAATTGACAACACGCAAATAAATCTGTGTAGTTATACATGTAAAAAAATCACTCCTTCTCTTTTATTCTCTATATTTTACGTTTTCCTTGCACAAAAGCCAAAATTTGGAAATCCTATGTTGAACTTTGCATCTTCTGGACACGTTTACATTTATAAATAATAGTACATAAATAACGTAAGCAACACGGTTGTGAAACTACAATATACAACCTAAATTGGGAACTTATACATGACATATGAAAACTAATAGAATGGCAAGAAGTGTTTTACAAATTTATTTTCATTAACACCAATTTTAAATATACGTCACTTCTCATTCCTTCACATCGCTGTACTGAAACAAATTTTAATGATTTAGCCATGAGTTATTAGGTCTTTTCTGAAGCCGAAAATTAGAAACATATCCAATCTTTGCTGGGACTCGAACCTGTACCTCTCGAATACGTGCTGAGTTGGCTACCGTTAGATCACGAAGGTATTCTGGAAGGAGGGAAAAAATACATTATATCTTCATAATATGATTTTCATCATTTCATGACACGGCGATATGCTTATTATTTTCCAGGTCTAGGTGCAAATCGTCGCACAAAGATAAACATTAAATCATTACTTATTACAGTTAATTTTGATAAATTTCAAATTAGGAAGATATTAATTCTTTTTCAAATACTTACTTCAAGCTATCAATCATGCATCACACTTTAATCTGTTTTTCTTAACAAAGAAGGTAGCTCATACAAAATAATTTAATTCCCTCATTAGCAAATTATTCAAACTCATTAATACAATATGGATTCATCCATAATTCTGCATGTCAAATAAAAGCCTTGAAAATTGTTTTATTTCAGAATAAATGAAAATGCGATTCTCATTCTAATTAAAATTGAATTTATTTGTAAGCTTATAAGGTATTTCCCCCACCGCCTTCTTGGCATGCCTTCGTGCTGTGATGGTCTGCACGCTGGGCGCGTATTCCAGAGGACCGTGTTTCTGTTTCCGGCGAAGGCGTTGCATAATTTTTTCACCTTTTCAAGGCTTCCAAAATACCTAATGTCTCTACAGCGGCGCCGAACTAAAAGGGTGGTGGATGATGAATCTCCACACCCAGGACTTGGCGATTGGGTCCCTTAAAACCCAGTCGCCCTTTAAAAGGGGGAGTATATAAGGTATTCCTCCTGCCTTCTTGGCATGCCTTCGTGATGTGGTGGTCTGTACGCTGGGCGCGTATTCCAGAGGTCCGTGGTTCGATTCCCGGCGAAGGCGTTGCATATTTTCCCTTCTTCCTGCTTATAATTAACCTAATGTCTCTACAAGCCTTCTTACATTTTCATTTTACTGAAATTGCATGTATGTTACTTCTTAAACCATGTTCAAACATTCGCTGACAGTGTTATTACATATTAGTGCTTACCCCTAAACAAACCGTATGTACTTACTGATAGTCTGAAAATTAATTAAATAATATCTCTAAAATCTTTAGGTTGAAAAATGGATAACTGACTGAAAGAATTAAATCCAAATTTATGAATGATTCGAAACTCATCACTGATGCGCTCTGCAAAAATAAATTAATAATTGTTAATGCATTATTTTGCTTTTTAGATTTTTCAGTACAATATAAATTTCTTTTTAATTTGTCTTTCTTTTCAGACATGGCACGATTACAAATTAAAGTGGGACCCCAGCCACTATGGCGGTGTAGAAATGATTCATGTTCCAGCGGAACACATATGGCTACCAGATATTGTGTTGTTCAATAAGTAAGTTCTCTTCTTTATAATTTTTTCATTAAGTCCCGCATTTCATAAAATCTCATTTTCCGATAGCTTTTAATGTCATTTTAGTCTTTGTATATGTAGAAACTCCTTTTTAATCCGTATCGCTTTTGCGCTCAAATCACTTTTCGAGTTACTGCCACCAAATGTTATCGAGATGATTAAAAAAAAATTAAATAATAAAATATACCTACGTATATTCTTCGGGGTGTGGAAAAACAGCAGCACATACAGTCAACTAAATTTTAATACACTTAGTCCTCCGCCCGAGGAATGGCCCTTCGGAGCCCTAATTTTGAATTTAGAACTTGTTTTTTTTTTTTTTTTTTTTATTTATTTCATATTCGGTACAGATTTAAAGAATTTTTGTTAAACAAACACAGCGATTTGAAAGCGAGTAGTGGCAACGGTGATCGAATAAAATATTTTTATCTCCAGCGACCCAGACTGTTGCCATTCGTCAAATATAAGATCTTTCAAATTTAATCCACAAATTCGGCTATTTAAAAGCAATGTGATATGAATAAGAATACTTATCTCGTCGCACCAGCATAGTGCCATTCCGTAAAGCATAATGTATTTAATTTTAATCTTTCTGTTAGTAAAATAAGTGATTGAAAATCAATAAAAACAATTCATTCTACAAAGAAGGATGCCAGAAAATATTTAAGTACGCAGTTTTTAGAATATATTTTCTTCTTTCTTCTATTCTGACTGATTTAAACAAAAACGTATTTAAATTCTGAGATGTCTAGTAAAATAGTTGTAGGAAATGTCATTAGCTGAACTTATTAAAAGAATTATATATTTTGTCTTTTATTATAATAATACTTTTAGGCTGTCGGCAGCTTGAGCGGCTACTTATCAAGGAAATAATATAGCTAATATAATATAAAAAAATTGGGAAACTCTACTAATCTATTGGGAATTTTAAAGACAAGCCGTTTTAAATATTTTATGATTTTGCTCTTGAATTTTATGTGGCGTATGTGTGAAGAAAGCGATGTTTAGTAATATAGCTAAAGACACCAAAAAATGTGTTAAAATTAGTGAATCCAATAGCTGATTGGTAACCTGCGATACGGAGCGAGATCATAAAACACCTAACTAATCTTCTAGTGCGATCCACCTGAATTTATTTAGAGTCCCCCTCACCAATTTTTTAAGCTGCTGAAATCGGATTCCTCATTTAAGAACCCGTAACTCTTTTATAGATGAAAAATAGAATTACTTAACACATGCTTGTGCAAAAAGTTAATTTCACGCATTTTCAAAGTATGCATTTGTAGCATTTTAACATGAAATATATAAAGAATTTTCATGTTAAAATGCATGTCACAGTGCATTTCATGTCACAATAGAATAATTCTGCTGTGATTAGAATTGTTAGAAAGTATTATTAAAAGTCACTTAAACATTATTAATGGTACTTCCCAGATAATGTTGAAATTATTACACACTCAAGTATGCATAAATATTTTGATACGATGTTATTTGATGAAACTCATGACATGCACTTTTTAGTGAAATTTACAGCACTCTGGTCAATAATTTTGTTGTGAGACATTTAGATCCACAACCATTCAAACTTATACTATTGGAAAATACTATTCATCAAACATGGTCTCAAATTTCACAAACGACTCTCAACATCAAGTAGAATCCATTCGAAAAACCATCAAAACTTTATTAAAGGAAAATGGTGGCAAAAATATTGCTAAAGTGGCCATTTAGTAGAAACCAATGAAATCTTTGGAGTCACCTGACAGATTTTTCTGTCCTTCAGTCAGACTTCAAAGGAGTTTATAAATAAATAAATATGCAATAACATTAAATAAGCTGCAATACTCAACAAATACAAACCTCCACCAACGCACTGCAGGCAATAGCCGGGGTGATCCGTGGCCTTCGAGATAACATGGCCTGGTTAGTGACGTCACGAAAGGCGTCCGATCCTTCAGTGACTTTCTTTTGATGATTTGAATGCGAGCGTTTCGTTCGATGTTTAGAGTGTTTTGTTTATAATAATGAATAATAACTAAATTTTCAAAGACTTGAAAACGTATATGAAAGGTCGTATATTCATTTGCAGTTAAGATTAATAACTTAATAAATATTATTTTTTAAGAAATATTCACGAAATTTTCTATGCTATGTTTTAGGTTATCTTGTGCATTTTTTTTTTTTTTTTTTTTTTACACTGTATTGTAATAATTTGTTAGGATACACTCAAAAAAGAAAGTTTTGAAATAAGTAAATAAAAAGGCTGTTATTTATTAACATAAAAATGGCTTTACAGTTTGAGAAGGAGAGGAATGAAAGGAATGAAAAGATTTAGAAATATAAATAATTCACTAACAAAAGTAAATATAATTTAGCAAATTAAAAGACATAAAAAAATAATTTTTCCTTAAAACTATAAATAATTCAGAGCTTCCAAACATTATGCAAATGTACTTTTAATTCATTTAAATTACTATCTAATAAAATGAACAGAAAAGCCACAGAAAAAATTTAAATCTCAAAACTTTGTAAATTAAATAAATTACAATTTTGCTGCAACATTACAGAAAACGAATAATTTTCACATATTTATATGTTATCTATAGCAATAATTATAATAATATTTACATCATTTAATAATATTTACATTATTAGTTAGATGTAGATGCATAATAAATAATATATTTACAAATAAAAGCCATCCATATAATGTTTCACAAAAGCGTAAAATCAATAAATTTGCCAACGAAAACCTCAAAACAACTATACATAGAACAAACCATCATTTCTGTCTAATTAGCAAATACTGTGCAAGTTGTACTAGTATACTGAAGCAATAATTAATCGCAATTGATAATTTATTTTGAAAAATTATGAAGTATTATCAAATAATAAGGAAACAGCAAAAGGATTAATAAATTTAAATGTAAAAGATACATTATTGAAAATATATTTGAACTGCATCATATTTAGTGCACTATTTTTAAAAAGTAAAACAATGTCATTTACATACTCATATCTTTCCATCACGTATTCTTGACTTTTTTAAGTTTCCTTTCATCGATTTTTGTATGCATATTATTTTGAAGAACTTTAGTATAATTGTTTAAACAAATATTTGAAATGGTGCTCATTATTTTTTTAATCTGCTAGAAAAGAGAATTCCACACATTAAACAAGTTTCATGAACATCAAACATGTTAATGTTTTGTACATATATCTCGGTAAGTTTGACCAGCAAAGAATGCTGTTCAACTTACTGGTTCTTCTTTACTTTCAACTGGAACAACTTTATCTCCTAGATAAACTGCTATATCTATATGAAGCGATGCAAAGATACTTTTCTCAATTTTAGGATATGGATGAAAACTGAGCAATAAAATATAAATACCAGCAACAGATTTATGTAAAATAATATTTGAAGTATCTGAAATATTTAATTTATTTGGTAACATAGAAGAAAAATCCTCAAATGATGCTATTTTGTCCTTTCTCAAAAATTCATTAAAAATATGCTTCTCCATCTTAGCTCTTTTTTCCTCCCTGCTCATCCTCTGAGGGGTTGGACTTTCAGATAAGTATTTTGGACAACCAGAAAAAAAATGCATCGGTAAGCATCGTTATTTAATTTAGGATGCCCTCTACACATCTGAATAAAAGTACCTTCGTTTGTTGGTAAATAATCATAGCGAATAATATCATCTTTTCGAAATGTTTTTCACACACAGCGCTGCGAGCACTTGAAATAAAATTTTTCCTTGGAATTTTTTTGATCCATAAATCCCGTTTTACTGTATCTTTTGAAAATTTGAATACTGATACATATTCATTAGTGCCATCGTAATTGGATTTGCATGCTGGAACGCAACATCGTGCAGGCATGATGAAGACAGCTCTACCTAGACGTCGATCGTTATTCTTGTTAACAAATAAGTTAACTAGTAATCTCAATTTAAAAACGAAAATATCCTTAACAACATTACTTAAATTTAGCAATAAAAAAACACACGAATAATAAAAATATACAGCACGCAATCAACGTAATAAGAAGTCTTCGCTTGCAGTGTCCACACAATGCAGTGCGAAGGGTGAAAGTTCAGACGCCTTACGTGACGTCAAATCCCGTGATTCTGCAGCTGACCAGGCCATCTAATCTCGAAGGCCACGGGTGATCCCACTGCCAATACAAACAGAAACCGACCCACTGTCCACAATGATTCTACAACTCAAGAAACCTACCGCGTACAACGACGTCATTTTCAATCCACAAGACTATGAAGAAAAGCTACCGAAATATAACAGACATCCCGCTTTGGGTCATCACAATCTCCATTGCAGCCTCGACAAGCCATCGTCATCAACTGAATTTACTGCATACATTACGGATGGCTCAAAGATAGAAAATAAGGTAGGAAGCGGTGTCACCATAACGGCATTATGCAACTTAGTGACTTAAAAACAGCGTTATCAGAGACAGGCAATCCTCCATACATGCCATCAAACAATAGAACACAAATCCTCCAATAGCCTGGGAAATTCCGCTTAAAAATTCGAATAGCTCACGAAACCACGAAAAATTCTCGAATAGCCCGCCACATGAAATTCATCATAAGCAAAAGTAATACATAGAAATATGTCCTGTCATGGACCAGAGGACAAAATGCCTGGGAAGGCAATGAAATGGCCGAGTTTCTAGCAAAACATGCAGCTCTCAAACATGATCTCAAATTCATATCCCATGACCTAACTAAGTATTAAAGTACAAACTAAAACGATATAAGTGAAAATTTATTTACCTTCTAAAGGGCTACCGTATAACATGCTCCTTTTCTTTTCGCAGTCTATTAGTCTATACTGAATTCCATTCACTGCCGAACTCTAATATAATTATTTTTCATAAATTTATTATTAACATATTATGTATATTTATATAATATTTAGAAGGTATTTAATACAAGTATTATGTTTCAGATGTATATGAAGACGGTATGTTATTCCGACTACTGTTAGACGCGTCACACATTCAACTAACTAGTTTTCCTCTCTTCCGCCAGACGCTATCCGTGGTTGCTGCGTTATTAGTAGGCAAACGACACAGTTATGTAGTATTATTAATATCCCTATATTTACAGTCATTCCAGTTCTACGTATTTTAATGTAGAAGAGAAATTATTACTTTAAATCCGAAAAAAAAATCTGAAAGCTTTCAGAATTCTGGAGATAAAAGTGTTTTTTTCCTTGCAATATTACCACTTTTCGCTTTAAAATCGTTGAGTTTAATAATAAAAAATTCGTTAAAGTTTTATAAAATATGAAACAGACAATAAAAACAAATTCTAAATTCGGACTTCCAGGGGCTCATATGGAGAACTACATTATGCAAAATTTGATGGCTCTAGATACCGTTGTTTTTTCACATTACAAGAAACAAACATACATTCACGAATTCTACTTAATTTCTTTAAATATAATTCAAAGCGATAATATTTGGTGTCAACAATTGGAAAGGTTATACAGCTGTTTTAGTGATTCGATGCAAAATGCCGTTTCGAGACTAATAGCAGTTCTGTGCTAACGCCCTTTCGGCTAAAAAAAAAAAAAAAAAAAAAAAAAAAAAAAAAAAAAAAAAAAAAAGGCATTAAATAGCAGCAACTATGCTTTTATTTTTCTATAAAATAACATAACACAGAATATGCGCGAGAAATAATCATCACTTAAATCCTATTTTTCATTATTTTACAAAACCAGAGGAATTGGAAAAACGTTTACAAGAAATCCTGAATAACAAGCCAAGTGAATCATGTTCTATCGCTCTTGTTTATAAAGAATATATTTGTACGTAAATTTGATAAAAATTAATTATTTAAAAGATTTTGCATTTTTATTAAGCAATTAGAAAGCAAATTATTTTCATGGCAAAAATTCGCATTGACTTGCATTGTTATTTTTTAAGGAACTGATGTCAGTTTTAAAATGTTTACTTCCTTGTACGAAGTAAAAAGGAAGTATTGTAATCGCAAAAATTTTCAGGTATTATATTTCAACGAAAATATCCATTTTGACCGCTGGCGAATGCAATTTAATGATTCTTTTACGTGACATCTGTACGTAAGAATATAATAAAAGTCTCTTTTCACCCACAAAAATTATAAAACTGATTTAAAATGGATTCTAAAGAGAATTTTTCGTGGCGTCTGTACGTACGTACGTATCTAGCATAATTCAAAAACGATTAGCCTCAGACCGTTGAAATTTTGTATATAGGACTGCTATAACATGCAGATGTGCACCTCGTATTTTGGTTGCAATCGGCCGCATCAAACGTATATAAATATATGTATATATATATTTAACTGTTAACCGGCTCAATGATCTCAGTTTCTTTACTCTTATATGTTTGGAAGTTGTGCATTTTTTTGCTTTAAAATGATTGAATTATGTTGTTATTATCTTCCGGCTAAGGGTTTTATGCATTTAGTAAATCTGCATGCAATATTTGTGGAGTTATCAACAATTTAAAAGTTGTTTAGGTGCAGCTAAGCCTAATGAATTTTGTGACGGCGGACATGTTTGTTTACATTTTAAACTTGGCAAAATAGCAAATTTGTTGCCAGTCTAGAGAAACTAAGCTTCGCAACAACAAAAATAATGCCTTTTTTATTATTGAGAATTAAATCATGTTTAACCCATTCTGGAATTTATTCGAGAAAATAATTGTTTATGATTATTTTCATTATAGATATTTTGAGTTTTTATGTATTTTTGCCTTAACGAGAAGTGAGAACTGAATTAATTGAAGGAGAAATATTGAATCATCTGTGAAAAACTGTACCTTTTTTGTTTTGTTTGCTTAATTTCTTTTATACATCATTCTAGCTCTATTATAGTATTTGAATAGAACATGTGGCAACGATTAGATAATTCTTCAAATGATATAAATTTTGTGCATTCTGAGTTATAATATGAACGAAATATAACGCTGTTAAGTGAACCTAGCGCCAGAGTGTCGCTATGGTAAACACATATAGTGAATTTTAAAGAGTGTATTTATTCTATTGTGGTTTGTGCTCTATCGACGAAGTAGATTTAATTCAATCCAATACGTTTAAAGTAAATGCAAGAAAAATGCGTATAATTTAATATTCCGTGCAAGGAAATCATATGGTGTACACATCACATTTTTTATTTTAATTATTAGCATCCTAAATTTATATTTTCATTAAACTATTTTAAACAGTAAAACTGTACACTATTACCAGTTAATCTTTATTTTTATATAATAATGTATAAGATAAATATCCACAAATCTACAAACCAAGAATATAATAAACTTTAAAATGTTTTTATACTTTTCTAGGATTTAATCTAAAATAAAAAATTAAGTTTAAAAGTAGTCAAATTTATATTAATTACTTTATTACTCTAAATGAATTAGGGATAAAATATTACTAATTGGAATATTAAAATGATTTTTCCTTGCTTTCTAGTTTTTTAAAACATTAAAAATTTTGATTAAGTTGATTAAGCAAATTATATATCATTATAAATATTTGGATGAATTTTACCTTTATATGAATTGCTTTCTTAATTCAAAAATCAGTAGAGGAACGTCTGGAGCTTTAAAAATGAGCTCATTCTGTTCGTTTTATAAGAAATTATGAATTTATTTTTCAGTGCAGACGGAAACTATGAAGTGACACTCATGACGAAAGCAACTGTATATTACTCCGGGGAAATTGTATGGAAACCTCCTGCTTTGTATAAAAGTACTTGCGAAATCGATGTGGAATATTTTCCTTTCGATGAACAATCTTGTCTGATGAAGTTTGGATCCTGGACCTACGATGGATATGAGGTAATTATGTGTTTGCCTGTTGGATAATCGTTATACTTATGCGACTCATTATCCTTGGGGAAGAAAAAGATAATGAAAAGGCAAGATAAAATTATTTTACAGATCGTGCAGCCTTGAAGCGTTAGTATACATTGTAGACGAGTCCAGTTTATTATAAAAGTATTATATTATTACGAGAATTCTGTCCAAAGCCAAACTTCCAAACTTCGAAAGCTTTTCTCAGATTTTTGTAGCCTTAAAACCTTAAATAATGCACTATATATTATTTCTGTGAGACATACATATGAATATGTGTGAGACACACTTAGAACATGTGTGAGCATTCATAATATCTACACAAAAATAAGTTTATTTTCAAACCTTCACCCGGCGAAATATTTGGCTGCAAGATCTTAAATCTCCTAAAAATGCTATTAGAAAGAAATATTTTCCATTAAAATACCAAATGCTTTTGATATTTTATACTTAGATCTTTACCTTTAATACATTGCCTGAATGGTTACAGCCGAATAAAGGACCGAACGCAGCCTTAATCATCTGAACACGTTTCGAGATGCATGTAGAGTGTGTACTTCTTTAAAGGTGTTAGTAAATGTAATCTTGTTGCGTTAACTGAAATTCAGATAAGTATTTAATTATAGTATATAGGTGTATAAACTCGTCCTGGCTGACTGGAAGGTTAAAATTACAAAACCTGACCAAATACTCTGGAAAACGCGAAATAAACATCGAGTCTGTATGCAGTTCTCTTTATAAATTAAAAGCAACTAAAGCTTAGTGCTTAAAACTGGTATTATGAAGACTAGATGGGCAAAACACATAACATTGTTATTAAAATATAAATATTTCTCAGTATTTAATTGAAATAATTAGTAAATTTACTGAAATGATTCTTACACAAGGTAATGTTTCTCTATATTTATGGCATGTTCCAACAATAAGATTATTGTTGTTAAGATAAACTAATTAAATACTTATCTGAATTTCAGTTAACGCAACAAGATATACATCGCTACTTGTCGAATTCGAATCGAAATATACTATTCAGAGAAAACTGCTAGCCTTAACTTTTCGCAGAGTTAAACGATCACTCACTAGCAGTCACCAACATGTCTTCTAATCAAGGGTATGTTGAACCGCTATGTAAACAAAAGTTTCCAATCCAGTATCTTCAAATACGAGAAATCATCGTTATTTGCATTTACACCTAATTTGCATTTTGTAATAGGTTGAAAGAAAATCTTACAAATAAGCTTTAATGGAACGTTAACTTTTCATAAAACTGGTTGCAATTAACGTAGTAAAAGCTTTGAATAAATAATGAATACATAAAAGTATCCCTTTTGATAATTATATGAGGAAAGTACTGTGATTTTAAGATATTTAAAGATGTGATTTAAGATATTTTCTGCTATGTTTTCAGAAAAAATCAACTCTATCTAAAACTGAGAGAAATCTACATTCATAATAATTACTTACAAACATTTAATTAGTCAACAACTGTTTTCCATTGTGAAACTTAACAAATTTACCCCCAGAAATGATATATCAGAGGAGAATCCCGATGTTATTTTGCTGTTGATCGCAGTGAATATGGAACACGACACAGCGAATTTGGAATGAAATATTTGAGGCTAGCATCCCCAGTGGCTAATTATTAAAATAAATAATTGATTTTCGGAGCATTTCAGTTTTGGACTTTGAATGTGCCTATTTTTTTAACAATGTACTTTAGTACTGATAACATTTTTTCCCGCTACAGCTTCGTAGGGATATAATTTAAAAACTATGCCCGATGAGCAAAACGAAACTGACGGTTTGTCGAAATAAATTACATTTCATAGCAAAGTAAATATCTATAAATAATTCAAAAAATAAAAAAACAGAAATAAGCCAGATTCTTCTCAGGGTAGGAGGAATATTTCAGGTTATCGATTATCACTCATAAAGCAAAGCAATAAGACAGATCCAGGAATGAATATAATTACTTAAATTGGAACTGACTTCTTCAGCTTACTGATTGACTGTGACTACTGGCTCCAGTGCAGCCGTAGAGAAGAGTTTGATTCAAAATTACAAGATCTGTAACATAGTGCAAAAAATAAACATTTACAAACATAAAGATGGTCATACATTAGATTAAACAAAATTGTATGACACAATTATTTCAGACAATGCGCAAAATAAATCATTTAATGAAAATAGATGCAGAAGAAATAAAATATAATCAAATAAACAGAAATATTTCGGAGCACATGCAATAAAATTGTGACCTAATAATCAATTCTAAATACGTAAGTCGCTTTAAAAAATAAAATGTTTTCAGTTTTTCATTGTGGCTTTCGATTAAAGAATGGGTTTATATAATGACATTTATGCATCATTTATTATATATATAAAGAATAAAACAGGTGTATGCATGTGATTATGCTTTTTCTAATTCTCTGTTAAAATGTCAAAAAGAAACCTATAAGTGGAATACATATTTTTTTTATAATTTTCATTCTCGGTCTACAAATTTTTACGACGTCTAAACATTTTAGTGTTAGACATAGAAACAGCAGAAGCAACATGGCTATGGAACCGGGAGGGAAATGAAACCACTTCCATCGTTGCAAAAACGAGTCGTGAAATAAAAAACAAAAAGTATGATAACAATATAAAAAAGTGCACGTAAACACAGCAGGTGCAACAGCATCAGCCATAAAGAAAACATCGGAAGTAAAGAGCGGAGGGGGAGCAGAGCCAGGGCAAAGCTATCAGAAGGTCACGCCTGCGGTGTGGAGCAGGGAGACTGGATGAGGCCAAACGTGATTTCGAAGCATTAGGTGTGAGGTTCTGCCAATAAAATCTCTGCATCGTTTCTCTTTTGTTCTTTTTTTCGAGGGTTAATCACTCATAAAGAACGTTCAGAGATCTTTTCTCATCTTGAAACCACTTCTCGCGATTGGATTTTGCCAACGAACGTTAGATCACGTGACTCTGTCAGACTATGTTCCTTTGTATAGTCTCGCATACTTGGCGTAGCAAATAAATGTATGCGATGGGAAATTTTATCAAAATTGCGTAAAATGTTATTTTTATAATAATTACGTTATATGAGCATAAATTCTGGAATGATAAAAAGAATTATTTCGAGAGGGGGGAGAGATGTGTGCATTTTAAATGGCAAGATCAAATTTGTGTTATATATACATATAAATGTTAATATGGCTGTTTTTTTTTCATATTTTTCATTAAATCGACAGTCAGCTCCTGATTTACCATGGAGCTATAAACTAGACTGAAGATTAATCAGGCGTAGTTTAAAAATAAATAAAAGATAAGTTAAGGCAAAACGTTTGAAAAATTACCATTGCAAATCTTTTGCGTCTAACAAAACTGTCTACTGAATATTCAGAAATTAAAAGAAAAATGCGTGAGATAGAACCAAATATCATATATAGTGTTATATTATAGCCATCCGTAGTTTAGTCTCTCAATTTCTAAATATAAGTTGAAGCTTCCATTACTTGCAAAGTGCTTTTGTATAATTTAATTAATTAATTTATTTTTGCTGCGTAAACCATCTTTATTTACGTAATCGAATGCAGTTATTACATAGAGTAATTTGCTTGAAGTTACTGACAAATTATCAGCAATATTTATCTGGTGAAATGCTGTACTTCTAAGACTGCAACGTGTATACGAGACAGTTTCCCTTAGAAAGTCCTCCACGAAGGCATCCCTCCCCTTAGGCAGATAGCCCTAGTGTGCTTTGCCATAATTAAAATACACCATACACTAAGACTGCAACAGAGTTCTTGGCCATGTGACCAGACAGTTCGCTGTCAAGAAGCTTTTTGTAACCTTTAACCTAGTAACCTGAATCGGCTTTAGTTTTTAATAACTGTAGTTTCCCCGATGAACTGAGGATCTGAATCTAAACTTACAGGCGTACATTGCCTTGTGAAATTCATAGTTTTGCACGCTTAAGTTTTATTTAGTAGACTTATATGCTGTCTGTGCTAAAAAAAAATTATGTACTGTGTGTAAGAAGTTTTTTTCAGTTTAAAAACCAGAACCTTTCTCTTGTTCCATCAGTGAGTGATTTGATGCTGTAATTCACTATCCATAAGAAAGACAAGACTTAGCGTAATTCGGTTTTCCCAGGTTGATCAAAACAAATATTTCACCTCAAAATCTAATTCGTGCTCTAATAGTTACTTCAGGTTGTAGGGATTTATATTTATTTTAACTAACAATTTAAATTTTTAAATCTTTTAAAACTATTTAAAACTTTCCTATTAGCCTTCATTCCCCTAATTGTCAGTGCCAGAATAGTTAAATTTGGTAGCGCGCGTGACGTGAATGCAAATTCTACTTTGAGGAGGAAAGTTTAAATACCGAGGTTTTAGAAGGGAAGTGAGAGAGTTGGGCTCTAGCAGCTGTCTCTGCCGTAGGTATAATTGCTGATTGCTGGTTCAAGTGGCTAAATGCATTTATCTCAGGCCACTAGTTATAGAGGGGGTCGAAAGTCGGTAGCTGAGCCCTGTAGATTAGTTTAGCACTTGTTAAACATTTTCAACTTTTGATTTTCATTTACTGCCCTAGTAGAGGCAAAGTTTGTTATCGTAAGTTGATGCAGTGTAAATTTTAAAGAGTTAATAAAGGGTTTGAACCCCTTCTTCTGTGTAGTTTCCTGCTACTCCTGTATCCAGATAGAGGTTAAACAGCCTGGACACTACAAGGTTAAAAGATTTTAGGTTGTTATAGTTTAAAGTTTCATTTCTAAACTCCAAATAAATTTAATTGCTAAATAGGCGAAATTACGCTTTATTTTCGAAATAATTTTGTGTTACAGTCTCAGTTCTTTTTCTCTACTAAATAACTCTCAGGAAACAACAAATTTCGCACCAAAATCAGATGGTTCATAATTGAAGTACGAAATCTTGATCGGACATTGAAAAATTATTTCATATAACCATGAAATCCATATTACAGTATAACGGAAAGTATTT